CTCGTAGCAATTGAGCCATCCTTCCAGCCCCTGGAAGGGCATTTCTAAAAACATCTGGTGTTTCACAGAAAACTAAAACCTAAAGGGGGGGGCATTTCTTGTCTAAGGCTACCCAACCGCATCCTTTGAAGTCCATATAAAGGCAGAATCTTGCTTTGACTTCCTGGTCTCGTAAGTATTCAACATGCCTTCCCTTTCACTTTCGCAGTTACCTTATCCACCGAGAAACACATTTTTTAAAATGTCTATTTCAAACTCACAGACCATTTTCAAACATATCCACTTCTGCTTTTGTGCCCCCATGACTTCCACTATTCACTGTTTTCCCTAATTAAACATTAGTGATTTTATCTTTAGGGTCTGTTCTTTCAAGAATATATAGAGCCCTCCCTGCTCAGCCTGCCTCTTGCTTAACCCTCAGTATTAATAGCAATGAGAAAATGTGGGGCTCTCCCTTCTCTTCCTTTCCAACAAGAAATCCTGGCCAGATTGCAATCAACCCTGTGCTGAGCCCCCTACTAGTGACAGCTTTAAAATGTCGTACTTTATGAACCACCAAAGCTAGAAATGAATTTTTGTCTGACATGCCAGGCTTTTAACTCTTGTACCTGTGCCCAGTCCAGAGATCTTTGAAAAACTGTGTATGAAGTGATAGTCAACATGCTGAATACTCAGAGTTAACTGACAATGAATGAGGAAGAGAAATATTTATGACCCTACTCTCTCCAAGGCATGTAGAATTCCATATTTCAACATCTTCACATAGGCACTTTAGATACATATTAAAATATTTAATATCAATAAATATTCTTCTGGAGTAATAAGATAGTCTCCTGCTTTCAAATAGAGCTGACGATACTAGGAAATTCAAGCCACCTATCTTTTCCAGGGAGAAGAAATACTAGCAATGGTAATTATTAGTAGTAATGCTTTTTGAAATAGGGCCTCACTAGGTATTCTTGACTGGGTTAGAACTCACTGTATAGACAAAGCTGGCCTCAAACTTTAAATCCACTAGTCTCAGTCTCTTGAATACTGTGACAGTAATGATTTTTGTCTTATTTTGTTTAGTCTTAACATACCTTTCTAGTATCTTTCAAAAGATTGAGAATTGAAACCTGGTGCCCACATTCCAAAGTAACCAAAGAGTTGAGATTATCTACTTTCCATGGCTCTGTAAGACATGGGAAGGTGCCATAGACTATTTAACAAAATCTTCAGTCTAGGTGTGGGAACCCTCCCTTCGATTTGTTGGTCAGAAGACTTGAAAAGATTCTCAAAATAATATAGGTAATTGTCATTGCCCTTGGCTCCCTTCCAGAAATTTAAGGTAGGTCCCTTTTGCAAAAGATACCTCACACACAGGACACACGACTTGGAAGAACTGAGCTGGCAGTGACCTGAAAGCCTCTTCCTTGAGAATTACCCCTCAGAGTTTCTAAAGGAGCTAGATATGCAATCTGCCAAAGGTGGAAAGTAATCAATAGTCCTACCCAGCTGTAAAGATTTTGCATGACAACAATGACCAGAACAGAAATCCTCAAGGATGCAATAATAATGTTTATCTTGGGAGAGGGTAATCAATAGCCATGAAAGTGGATTTAAGGTACCCTTAACAGGAGGGCATCTATGCCTGGTATTGCAAACCTGGCTAATTATCTGTGGCTAGTGAGGTTAGGGACCCTAGAGGAGAACCTACTACCCTTATAAACCATTACAATTTCTAATTGCTTTCTAAATACCTATCTTTGAACCTGTTGATTAGTGTAACTCTCATTCTGCATTAAAAATATAGTAAAAACCTCTTTTGCAGTAGAGTGAGATCATTACAGAAAGTCACTACTGGTCAAAATGCAGAGATCAACTGGTCATGCTCAGACCCAGCTGACAAATATACAACACAACTCTTGCACCCACGACTCAGTGAACATCAAAGAAGAGGAAGTAGAAAAATAGTTAAAGCCATATGGGCAGGACATCTTCTGTGAGATAATGTCTTCTGTATTTGACAGGGAAGTTACACTCATGAAATCTCAACAATATAGCTGCTTAATCAAGACCAGTACAATGGCAACACAAGTTGCCATATCAGTGTGGACTGGGTAAATCTCAGAAGGCCTCAACCTCGCTAATAAATTAATGAGTATTGAGAGAAAAATACTCATTTTTCTCTGGGACTAGCTTTCTGATAGGTTATCCAATGTCAAGTGGTTAGCTGTAAACACATGTAAAAGGAACAATATACTTCAAGAGGAAGAAGTCGTGAATTTGAAAGGGAGTAGCAGGAACACACGATAAAATGGAGTGGGGAGATAGATTGTTCAATCTCAACTGGTCATTTTTTTGGTATTTTTGATACAGAGCCTCTCTACATAGCTTTCCTTACTATTCCAGAACTTACTATGTAGGTCAGACTGGCTTAGAATAACCCTGAGTCTATGTCTGAAGTGTTGGAATTAAATTGATGTGCCACTATACTTTGCAGCCAAAAAGTGGTCATTCTTAAATATATATGCATATGATCAACATATGGTTGCCTGTATTATGACAGTGTGTGGTGGTGTTGGTGGTAGTGGTGTGTGTGTGTGTGTGTGTGTGTGTGTGTGTGTGTGTGTGTTCATGCTGCAGTAATTAAAGAAATCATGAAGTTCAAAGGGGATAGGAGAGGAGAGTGTGAAGGAGTAGGAGAGGGAAGAGCGGGGAGTGGAAATGATGTAAATACAGTACTTGTGTATGGAAATACTCCAAAATAGTAAAATAACTAAAAAATAAAGTAGCCAATTTGCTCCATGTTAGAATTTTTGCATGGAGCATATTCTCCACTCAGTGTTTTCTCATGCATAAACTTGTGCTGTGTAAAATATGGTCTTTAAGCAGGTGCACTGCATTTAATTTGTGTTATGGAAAAATGGCGAAATTAACTTGCATGACAACGGGCAAGCAAAATAAAACAATAAAACAAATAGTTGTTTCATTTGGTGATCTTCATTTTCTTAAATAAAATATCACTGAGTTACAGGACCTTGAGCAGCTCCAGGGTGTGAATTATTTTGAAGACCTTGCTGGATTTTTCTATTCTGAACATTGAATGATCCCCTCCGGTCCACATTGCTTGTCTTTTCTGCTGTCAAATAGTCTAGAATCCACATGATGGTAGAGATCCTGTCATGCCGTCCTGGCAGCTGCCCTTCTGCCTTCTTTCTTTTTTTAGTTCTAAATTCTCCAGAAAGCTGCTATGCAGGGTAGTATGGTATGGCTCAAAAATTTTTGCTTTTACAATATAGATGACCTTTCTGTTTGCTCAAAGCAATCATTTAGTCACCTTGACTTCTAAGACACAAAGGTGGCACTGATCATGATATAATCTATTAATTGTTTCTTTGCTCACTTGAACTCATTTTCCATCTGGTATGGCTCCTACTATAGTGCCCTGGGCCTGCTGCCACAGTAGCATTAGAATGCTACTCTGCTTCATTCCCTGGTGGAAAACCAGGGTGATCTGTGACAGGGTATTAGAAAGCAGAGGTGTTTTAATGGAGAAGTCAGAGTGATCTGAAGTCCTTGGAACATGCCTCCACTTCCTCTTCTGATAGCTATTCTTGCCTAAGTACTGTTGAAAAGGGGGGCACTGCTTTAAGGCTCTTTCTAAAGGTCTAGGCTTATGCCCTAGGACCCTGGATCTCATGCTAGGCTATTATGGACAGCAGCAATTCTCCATGTGGGAGTAAAGTTGAAACGTGCAGCACATTTTCAGTAATACCAAATGCTAGTCACCTCCTCATGCTTTTGAGAAATGGGAGAAAAGAAAATGATAGCTTTCTGTTTGTAGTGTATTTCGCCCACCCGCTAAAATGCTGCAACTAAAATCATTAGCATAATTGACTATCAGTGAGGCGAGCAGTCTAAGGGTACCTACTTTCTACCTTCCCTGGAGTTGCCAAACATTCACTGGTGCTTCTGTTGTGCTCAGTATATTCCTCAGGAAAGGCATTTTTTTTTTCAAATGGTTCTTTTTGCATGAGCCAAGGCTCTCTGTTTTGGCTCTGACTTAGAATTAAACTCTTCCAGACCAGGCGGAAGGAAGGAAAAACTCATTGGCAGGAAGCTCCTCCTTTGTGGGAAATTAGGGCAGGGCTTCAAATTGTATTTAAAACTGGGTCTGCAGCCACAGTTAGACCATCTAAGGGCAGCTTCCCAGTGTCTCTTTGAGTGTGTGAATAGAAGGCTGAAGCCCTGGTGATTAAGGAGGGAGGGATCACTACATTAAAGGTCTAGATCCGGACTTCCTGCTAGACTACATAGGCTAGGCACATCTGAAATCTATGCAGATAACAAGTAGGCTTCAGCCCACTTAGTCAGATATAAAATGCAACTTATCTTGGGATTCTGGACCAACTGTCATGCCCTGAAGGCAGTCCTCTGATGAGGAAAATAAAACTGTTGCTTCCCTCTGAGTTTTTATCTACCTTGGAGTTGTTATGGCAAAGATAGGTCCCAAAGAGCGGCAATCAGGAGGGAGCAGGTGCACACACTGACGGTCTGCCGAACAGTGCGCACACTTCCCCTCTGGGGTTAAAGCCAGGAAGCTTTTGCTAGGAACAGTCTAGTATTCACTACATAGAACAGCCTGCAGACTCAGTTGGGGTTTCTCAACTTCTAACCTCTCTAATAAGGCCATTTTCCTCTCACTATGTAGCAGAGTTGAAAACAAGCAGGAGGGAAATTCAATTTTTCAAATCATTAATTTTGCTTTCATTCCTAGGATCCACCGCAGACCAAGCTGGGATCACCTTCATCATCAACACTGCTTGTACAACCAGGGCAGCCAACAGAGCTCAGCAAATAGAACCGTTTGCTTCTTTGTTCTTACAGGTTCTACGACAGGGCTCTTGCTAATAAGTCAGTCCCTGGGATTACCCGAAGGCCCTGGAAGGCTGCTGTCCGTCTCTTGGAGGCAGAAGAAGAAGGGAAATATCAGGAAGGAGGAAAAACTTTTTTACCTTCAGCGGCTCTTTTGAAGAAGACCTTGCAGCTGCCGCAAGTGAGAGCTCCATAGTGGCAGCCAGAAGCTTCATCGCCACAGATCAGGCAGGTCTTCTGGGGTGGGAAGTAATAGTCGATGGGTAAAACGTGGTCCCTGGCACTGTCCAAACTGAAAAGACACACGCACACACACAAAACAAAGCAGCACATGTCAGTGGGTGGCAGAAATCGAGGCGAATTCTATGGTTTTCTGAGACACCATACATATTTTATGTATCATTCTATGTATTGCTCACGTGAAGCTTAGCTTTTTTGAGACCTTACCTGAGCATGGGTTTGGAAGGTTTCGCATGGCATTGATAGAACCCTGTGGATCCTGCCAAGGGACTGAACAATTTTCCCTGGGAGTAGTCAATCTCATAACCTCTGAATTTGTAAGGGAAGGAAGAGGGCAGGGAATCTGAGGTTAAGGTAGCAACTTAATGTAATGCTCAGACATTTTCAGTCATTAAAAGACATGAACCCAACCCTCTACCTTACTTCTCCCAAGGGGAGACCTATGATAAAACCATATCAAATACCAGAAGAAGTTTTAGGGATGTTAGCTCTTGGAGTCTTACCTGTAAAACAGGAATATTGTCGCTGGTAGTACTGGGTTATTGCTATATGTGACAACATAAATCAACTGTGGGAGTTGCTCTTGATATTAATATACAAGTGAAAGATAAATTAATATACACACTAGTTTTCATTGATCTTTAAAATCATTTCCTTTGCTTTCCTTTGAGCCTCTCTGGATCACATGTTCAAGTCCCTGTCCCTGCTCTGTAACAAAGAGGAACCGAATGGAATTGCTGTGCCAGAGGCACATGTGCCCATGTTACTCTGCCTCAGAGAGAGGACAGTGGTCCACACTCTGAGTCATAGCACTACCACTTCTATGTTTCATCAATATGTTTCTACCAAAAAAGGAAGGAAGATGAGCCATAATTGGAATCTACTTCTTGTGCTTATTGGTTTCATCACCCCGTAACAAGTAAACAAAACAAGATTATTCTCTCATTAGCATAGTTATTGTACAGTGAAAACAAGGAAGAGTAAGAAATGACAAGGTTAAAATGATTTGATACCAAGCCACGTTTATCTTCTAAATCCAAATAGTTTTCTTTCCCTAAATTCTTCTCACTACTCACTTTTGCTTTCTACTAATGGAGCTCTGGTTTTCTGCATAGCAGAGTCCCTAGAATCCAGAAAAGCATTCAAAGTTCTTCTCCCTCCACTCCTAATGAGCAGCCCTGGCAAGGCATAAGCAAAGACAACTTAGGCTACAATTTCTAAGTCTCCAGGACAGGAATGCTAACCTTTATTCAAGACCTGCCTACAATAGAATGAATTTAAAATACTTGTTCTATAAATATGAAAATCAAAGAGCTAGCTATTGGTGGCCTGTATTCTCTTCCAAAAGCCCCCATTTCATGCCATTTCTAAACTGTAAATAGAGTCAAGGATTGAAGAACCACATGTTTCAAAGGAAAAGAGCCCATTTCAAACCCACAACTCAGCCAGTCACAACGAACATCACTCACTGTTTTGGTTAAAACGTCATTCACTTGGGTAAATATTGTGCCTTCATTCTCATTCCACCGTTTTAAAGCCTCTCTGACTAATACAAGCAAAATAAAATAAAAAATACATGTAGTTAGATAGTCAACATGTCAGACCATTTCATACATATCATCTCCTTTAATTTTCTTCCCAAATTTTCTGGGTGACTTCAGATCATCTTCATATTCTGATGCTTAGAGTAATTAAACACATTTATGCAAAATCATACATCTAGTAAATAGAAATGCTAAGCTTCCATATCTGCTATGTCTGACTCCAAAAAGAAGATTCTTAATTACTGATAAATTATGTAATATGACTGGCAATCTGTGTAATATGGTTGGAGGCTGGAAATAGGTAAATAGGTAGATTAGATCAACTGACCCATGGATGACTCACAAGGTTAAAATATAGAGCTATAGTGGTGATTAGCATATGTTCTTTCCCTTTTGCAACTCACCATCTACTAGAGCAGAAATTAAAGAGCCAAAGAAAAGTAAAATAATGTAACAAATAATGATTTTTCACTGCTACATATAAGAAACCATGAAAGATGGGATTATTTTTTAAAGATCTAAGTATAAGTGACAATAGTAATGTCTGTTTTAGGTACAAATTACATGTCACGTTAACAAAGTGGAAAACATACATAAAATAGATAAGTGAAGTAATCTTTTAAAAGAAGACTGTAAGAAAAGAGAGTTGGCCTTTAATTGTGGCACACATCTTTAATCCAAGCATGTAGGATCCAGAGGCAGGTGGATCTCTGTGAGTTCGAGGGCAGCCTGGTCTACAAAGTGAGTTCTAGGACAGCCAAGGCTATTTTAAAAAAAAAAACCAACAATGAAACAAAAATCAAAAACAAAAACAAAAAAGAAAGAAAGGAGAGGTGTCATTCAATGTGTATAAAGGTAAGTTTGACAGCCTTCCTCAAGACCCAGCAATACCACTTTTGGGTGTATATCCAAAGGAAACTCAATTGTACTACAAGGACATATGCTTAACTCTGATCCTAGCAGCATTGTTTGTCATAACCAGAACCCGGAAACAACCTAAATGCCCCTCGACTGAAGAGTGGATAAACAAGATGTGGTACATTTAAACAATGGAGTACTGCACAGTAGAAAAAAATTACATCTTGAATTTTGCAGGAAAAATGGATGGTTCTAGAAAACATCATATTGAGTGAGTTAATCCAGACCCAGAAAGAGAAATATCATATATACTCAGTCATAAGTGGCTTTTAGACATAAAACACAGAAAACCAGTCTACAATTCACAATCCCAGAGAACTTAGACAACAATGAGGACCCTAAGAGAGACATACATGAATCAATTCTACATGGGAAGTAGAAAAAGACAAGATCTCCTGACTAAATTGGGAGCATGGCGACCTTATGGGAGGACTGAAGCGGGGAGGGGAGAGGCGGGGAGGGGAGCAGAGAAAAAGGTAGAGCTCAATACAAATTAATAAAAAAGGTAAGTTTGAAAGCTGTGTTATGCAAATTCTATCTAGGGTTATTACAGCACTGCACATTTCAGTTTTGTTATGAGGGGGACGTGTTGTATTTTTTATTAGAAAGTTAAGGAAATACACATTTTTATCCACATCAAAATTTAACCTATACTGGTTGTTTAAAGAATCCAATCAAATGTGTATTCAAAAGAAGGTTCAAACAATCACCATTTTGTTAAGTAGATATGAACTTAATAAAGAATCTTTAAATTACTAAGAGAAAATAGGGGAGAAAAATAATGAAGAGGATTTTAGAATCTGTATTTTTACGGACTACACTTTGATTTAAGGTTAGAGAAATGGCAGGTTTCATTAGACAAATTTCTCCTCTCCCTTCTCCCTTATCCCATCTCCTCGGTTCTCAAAATGTTTTTGATAGCAGTTCTCCCACTGACTCTATCTTAGTGTGAATTAAGGGCATGCTGTACTTTTGACTCACGGACTATACTTTGAGAGATGAAAATAAAAATTCTGACTGCAGTTCCTTCTTCCAGATTGAAACTCCAGGAGGTACATGTGTGCATGCTCATAGTAGCTTTGATTATAAACACATAAATGCTAGGTATCGACTGCCAGGAGAAAAGGGAGATGGAATTATGGCACAAAAATTCAATAAAATACAAGCCAGTAATGACAAGGTCTGACTGAAACCTCATAGGTAAATCTTCCACACTAATATTTCAGACACCTAGCTAATAACCTGATGTGTTTAAATTCTGTTGTGTAAATTTAAAAAAGGAACGAAACGTAACAATATTGTTTAAGGATATATGTGAAAACGTTATCAAAATTGAAGTCATAATAGCTCCCAAATTTAGGACAATGTTGAGCTCTAAGATATTGTTGACGGTGATAGTCTGAAGAAGAAAAATTCAAGTAGACTCATGCAGTCATAAAGAAATATCACACCATACCTAGCACATGTCAGGTACCATTCTAGATTTTGGAAGGTAGAGCAACAAACTAAAGCAGATCAAAGTTTCAAGCCCTCACAGACCTTTAATTCTAGTAGTCTCCGTGGAAAGGTATTAATAATATTGTTGGTTCTTTAATTCGAGCACATTAGCATTTCTTCCCTCATGGTTATGCATTTATTCTTTTCTCTGACTATAATAATAAATAATTAAATAAGAACTTGAAACCTTTTAATATCCTCTTAAATAGCACTCTATCACAAGCACAAAGGTTTGCTTTGAGAACAAGTGCATCATGTTTCTCCCCAGCTGCCTTGGTTTACATGCTTACTTAAGCTGCACACCTAATTGAATAGAAGTGTATTGCCAGAAACTGTCAGCCTGAAAATGCCAGGTCAACCTTGAGGGAAGTTGGACACAGGGGCCCTAAGGACTTAGATGTTTCTTTCCCCCTGCTTCTCTCCTTTATCCTCCTCTCCATTCTTGCTCCCAAATAGGATTTTGAGATGCTTTGAGAATTGGACTAATTTGAGCAAGCCCACCAATGATTGTGGAATCAAGGTGAAACACAAAAGTCTCATAGCTGTTTTTCTTGTTAGGTTTAGTAATGTTAGCGCATTATGGCTTTGTGACCAGTCAGACCTGGGCTATACTCCATGCACCACCAAAGTTTGGACAAACATTGTTAAAAATCAGTTGACCATAAATGTAGAGATTTATTTTCAGATTCTTATAGAGTTCTTATTTATGTGACCATAGCCCTTTTTTAGTTTTTACCTTTTGGTTAATTGTTGCCTATACATAAATTTTAAAAATCAAATAAGTTTAAGAGGCTAACATTCAGAGGAGAGAGAGGAGAGAGAGAGAGGGGAGGGAGAGAGAGAGAGAGAGAGAAAGAGAGAGAGAGAGAGAGAGAGAGAGAGAGAGAGAGAGAGAGAATACCAACCACTTTTATCTCAATTTCCCCACCTCATTTTCCTTAAATTATTTTATCTTAAACATTTTTCAAAGCTTTGTTGTAAGGTTTTCCAGTCAGGATTTGGAATTTTCCTTATTTGTCATGTTGAAGACTGTTTTTTTTTCTGTTCTAGACTTCTTACATTTCATTAAGAACTTCATGGCCAGTTTTTCAAC